ATATATATATATATATATATATATATATATATATATATATACACCACATCTTCTTTATCCATTCATCTGTTGCTGGGCAGTTAGATTGTTTCCATACATTGGCTATTGTAAATAATGCTGCAGTGAACATAGAGGTGCATATTTCTTTTCCAGTTAGTGTTTTTGTATTCTTTGGGTAGAGAGCCAGAAGTGGGGTAGCTACTGGATCATATGGTAATTCTACTTCTAGTATTTTGAGGAATCTCCATACTGTCTTCCATAGTGGCTGCACCAATTTAAATTCCCAACAACACTGTATAAGGGTTAGCTTATCCCACACGTGATTGTTTTCTTAATTTTTCTTAGTTTGTTATGAGTTTATGGAAATACAATAGATTTATGTATATTGATTTTTGTATCCTGCAACTTTACTGAATCCACTTACCAGTTTTAATAGTTTTTGGTGGCGTCTTTAAGGTTTTTTTAATATATACGATCATGTCATCTGCAAACAGTGACAGTTTTACTTCTTTTTTTTCTAATTTGGATAACTTTTATTTCTTTCTCTTGTCTGATTGTTGTGGCTAGGACTTCCCACCCTGTGTTGAGTAAAAGTCGTGATGGTAGGGATCCTTGTCTTGTTCCTCATCTTAGAGGAAAAGCTTTCAGCATTTCACCATTGAGTGTGATGTTAACTGTGGGTTTATTGTATATGGCCTTTATTATGTTGAGGTACATTCCCTCTATACTCACTTTGTTGAGAGCTTTTAATCATAACTGGATGTTGAATTTTGCCAAGTGCTTTTTCTTTATCTATTGAGATGACTGTATGATTTTCTCCTTTATTTTGTAAATGTGGTGCATCCCATTGATTGATTTGCAGATATTGAACCATCCTTGAATTCCTGGAATAAATCCCACTTGATCATGGCATACGGTCTTTTTAATGTACTGTTGAATTAGGTTTGCTAATATTTTGTTGAGGTTTTTTGCTTCTGTCTTCATCAGGGATGTTGGCCAGTAATTGTATTTTTTTTTTTTTTTTTTTTTTTTTTTCTTTTTTTGGTGTACAGTCTTTGTCTATAGTTTTAGTATAAGGATAATGAGTTTGGAAGCATTCCTTCCTCTTTAACTTTTGGGAATAATTTGAAAAGGGTAAGTATTAACTCTTCTTTAAATGTTTTATAGAATTCATCTCTGAAGACATCTGGTCCTAGACTTTGTTGTGAAGGGTTTTTTTGTTTTGTTTTTTGGAGTATACTTGCTTTACACTGCTGTGTCAGTTTCTGCTGTACAGCAAAGTGAATCATCTATATGTGTACACGTATCCCCTCATTTGTGGATTTCCTGCCCACTTAGGTCACTGCAGAGCGTGAAGTAGAGTTCCCTGTGCCATATAGTAGGTTCTCATTAGTTATGTTTTATACTTGGTATTGATAGTGTATATATGTCAATCCCAATCTCCCAATTCTTCCCAACCCCCCCTTCCCCCTTGGTATCCTGTTGTGAGCTTTTGGATTATTGATTCAATTTCAATACTAGTAATCGATTTGTTCAGATTTTCTATTTCTTCCTGATTGTCTTAGAAGAATGTATGTTTCTAGGAGTTTATCTATTTCTTTGAGGTTGTTCAGTTTGTTGGTATATAATTATTTCTCCTGACCTCTTATGATTCTTTGTATTTCTGTGGTGTTGGTTGTAACTTCTCTTTCATTTCTGATCTTATTTATTTGGGCCCTTTCTTTTTTTTGCTTGATGAGTATGGCTAAATGTTAATCAATTTTGTTTATATTTTCAAAGAACAAGCTCTTAGTTTCATTGATCTTGTCTATTTTCTTTTTAGTCTCTATTTCATTTATTTCTGCTCTAATATTTATTATTTCCTTCCTTCTGCTGACTTTGGGCTTTCTTTGTTCCTCTTCTTCTAATTCATTTAGATGGTAAGTTAGGTTGTTTGAGATTTTTCTTGTTTCTTGAGGTACGCCTGTATCACTAAATTTCCCTCTTAGAACTACATTCACCGCGTCCTATAGATTCTGGAAAATTGTATTTTATTTTTATTTGTTTCGAGATAGTTTCTGATTTCCTCTTTGATTTCTTCACTGACGAATTGGTTTTTTGGTAACATGTTGTTTAGTCTCCCCACATTTGTGTTTTATCCAGGTTTCTTTTTGTAATTTGATTTCTCGTTT